TAGAGGATAATACTTGAACTGAGCATTTCATTCATATTAGACAATATCAATTGGTTTAATTAATGGGAAAAAAAAGCCATGCTATTTTTTTTATCTCCATGGTGATTCTTCTTGCATGATGTTGAAAGTAATTCATTTGCAGTCTTGCAATACTTTATTATTTCTGTCGATTAGTATATTAAACTGTTTCTTCTTCATCATTCAAATTTATTTGAAAAACAAAATTTATTAAAGTATTTTTAAGCGTGAGTTGTTGACAATGAGATCAATAAAAATAAAAATAAAAAAATTATACGCTCAATCATATGAAGATCGATGATTATGTTAATTCAATCCATCAAAAGATTTGTACTTCGATTGATTCTATTCTAATCGAATATTTATTTATTATTTTAATTATCTTTTATTCGAGTTCTTCTACCTGTTACAAAAGCTTGTTGAGCATCAGTTTCAATAGTATTTTCAACTATTGAATTTTCATGATCATTTGTTATTGATTGAAATTAAAAATCTTCCATTTTTAATAGTTTTGTTTTTACATAAAGAAATATTGAAAATAACGCTAATGTTATACCAAATGGTGATAATATCAATGCTAAATTATATAATGCTGTTGTTACATATGACCAAAATAAAACAAATAGAAGTGCATAACCAAATAGAATATAAACAGTAGATATTCAAACTCCACGATTACAATTAGATTCAGCAAGATCAATACTTGACTGAAGTTGAATATAACGATAATAACATGATGAACATAAACATAATGTGAATGGAAACAAAAATAAAACCAACTAAAAAAACAAGAATTGTTATGGATTTTTTTGTTAGTTAATTTAATTACTTGAATAGTTCCCATATATGTTTGCATATCAGGTGGAAGATACATTCCTTTGATAATCGTGCCCCAAAGAAAAGCAGCACCAAAATAACCATCTGTTAAATATCCAATGTACCATGGGCCTTATATCAAAACAAAAAACAAGAGTTATTAATAAATTAGAAAAAAACAAAAGATTTACCAATAAAATGATACAATGCTAAGCCAACCAATGAATAATAAAATAAATCGATTGAACATAGAAGCACCATTCGTAAACGAATTGTATTCCATAGAGTAAAACAAACACAACAAGATTCTGAAAAATAAAATTCATTTAAGAAAATTTCAAGATATTATCAAATAAGAAATTCAATTAAGATAATATTTCTCATCCTTAAAAAAATCTTTACGAACAATTAATTTTAAGATCTTTCCTCTCCAAAAATCGATCTTCGATACAGTGCATGAGGAATACATCTATCGGAATTTAAAGAAACCCGCATTCCACTAGAATTAACATTATTGAAAAGAAACTTGTCCCGAATTTCACACGACTTATGCAAAAATCAATGTCGAGAAAAATGGGCGAACATTTTTTTTGTATATTTACATGAAGAATCTTCTGACATGGGCATCAAATATAGTTATATTACGTACTAATTAAAAACTCATCAAGAGTCCGATCTATCAAGTAGGTTTCTAACTACACGTTAGGTTATGATAAGAGACCATAACTGCAATAGCGCTCATAATTTCCCTATAAATCTGATATTGACCTTTTCGCTGAAGAGATCTAGAAACTCATTGTGAGTTCTAAAGAGACTTTTTAATATTGGAGAGTTTTCCAACTAGACACCTTAGAGATCATGTCTATATATTTGTCTCAAAAAGTGTCCTTTTCTTTCTTTAGAAAAAATTGATTTTTTGAAGAGGAGAGACCTTCATTGTATTCTTTGAGATTTATAGCAGATGAATTTAGTCTTATGTAAATTTTTGTAATCTTTTTTGTTCAGTTTTCTGTTTATCAGATAATTTATCTCAATGAAATTTTTTTTGTTTTGTTTTGTTTTGATAGTAGTTCTGTAGATAAAATCAGTTTATGAGTTTTTTTTCTCCTATAAACAAACTCGTCTTACTAATCCTTATCGGCACATATTGATTATTATAATTATTCCTTTCAATGTAGTCTATTTATTAATCTTATTTTCATAATCTTATTTCTTTTGATATTTCTATCGAAACCTTGTAATTAAAACCATCATCTCTTGACTAATACTGCTTGACATCCATTAGTCAAAAAAACATAATGAGATTATCAATGACTCCTACTGATTTGCTCTTTAGTATTAAACATGCAATCATGACACCAATGGATACGTTATCAATATATGATAACAGCATGCTTTCAAGTCAAATTAGAAGTCCTATTGGCACGTTTTAGGACATTTTCCGCTGAGAAAAATCGAAAAATAATTCGGAAGGAAAAGGTGATTGCCTCCAGTGTTCCTCTTCTAAATCCGCCATTGCATTGAATATTCATCTATGTTAATATTAATGCTTGAAACTACATGTCTAATAGAAAGTTTATCAAAGTAATTAGCATACATAAGTTATGATGCTTGTCTCTATGTAGAAATATTCGAAAGGAAAAAATTTATCAATGCAGTTTTCCATAGATCTAGAAGATGGAAAATGCACATACTGTTGAACTTTATCATACTAATTGTTCTTCTTCAACAATATGAATTTATCAATGAGAAGTATTATTTCTATTTTAACTCTTCTATTAGTCTATTAAATATATTCGTTTTTGTCTCAAGTCAGAACTTAATCAACGCTGTGTTTATTTTAAATTAAACATATGTGTTTAATTGTCTTACATTCTAATCTTTCATTATGAAAATGCTATCAAATCACTTATTAAACAAAAAATGATTTATTTGAATTAATAACTTATACAAATCAATTTTAATTGATGATATCATTGTAAAATAAAATATGTTGGGAAATTACTTATTAAAAATAATAAATTTCCGAATGTTCTTTAGTCATGATCATCTCACGTTTATATTCATCTTATGATATCATCATTTAAGCTTATATTAACATTTTGAAGATTATTTCACGAAGATTGTCGTTTTAATTTTAATGCAATGATTGTCAGTATTATCCATAGATGATCATTGTTTTTATACTTATATGTCGTCATATTGATAAGAAAGTGGTTATTTTTTTCTATAGCTACTCACATATTTATACAATAATTACACTGTGAAATCGTGCTAAAAAATGGCTAATTTTGTCGTGTTACAGACAATTTCAGTTTCTGGACCCTAGCTTTACAGTCTAGGGGATATTAATATTTATATTCCTTTTCTCATTGTTTCACTGGGGAAGTATACATATATAGCACAGTTCATATGAAAATTTAGTTGATTTTGGAATGCCCGAAAAAATAAAAATAAAAGATTCTTTCTAAAAGAGAAAATCTTACATAAAAGATCTATACGGCTGATATGATATTATATAGTTTTGTAAATAAAACACAGAAATTTATATCAAACTTTCAAGAAAAAGAATTCTCTTGAATGCGACCTATAGATTTTTATTTTAAATTAAGTCTGATTAAATAAATTCTCACCTATATTCTGATGTGTTCAAATACACCTCTCATTCATTCAATAGTATGGTTTGAATCTATGATATGTTTATATACAACTAGCGATCTTGTTCATATATTTGTATGTGAACTGTTTATTTGATAAATCACAGTGATACAAATAATATTTTTGGATTGAACTGAGTTCCTAAATCTTTTAATGTTTATCAAAAACAAAAATAAATGAAATAATCAACCCACAGCATCGATAGGCTGTTCGATATAAATTGAAGCGATACGAAATTTCGACCTATTACATCTGATCAGATCATGCAG